TCTAAAAATAGAATGCAAATTATTGGAACCCTGCGAGAGTCAGACAACATACGCGTTTTCTGAGAGAAATAGGAGGAAAATGAACGCCAAATTTTCGTTTTAAATTTTTTCTAGGAACACTTGCTTACGCGCTTGAAAAAGCTTCAAATCTTCCCACCATTCCGTTTTGTTTGTATGAGATCAGTTGTCTGAGTTATAACGTGACTCGTGCCCTTTGCGATTACCCAAAGCCAAGCCAGAGTGAAAAAATACCCTATTTCAGACAAAATGATCAAATTCTAAACCCTTTTTCAAACCAAAACCGCTCAAAAACCATACCCTTTAGGGCCGAACATACTCCCTCCCCTTCCCCCCACCCTCGGGCTGTCAGCGAGCGTTCGGAATTTCAAAAGTCTGTATTTCCAATTCGATTGAAATCCTAGCGCTCTCAAGGTATAGACCTTTGCACGAATATTACCATATCTATTTCAATAAACAGTATGGGAATAGAAAAGCCTTGAAGAATAAGTGGCTGGGATATTGAAATTTGATTTTATAGCGGAAACTGCATTCTGCAACCAAAAAGGAACATAAACAGCTTGAAGTATTTTTTTCTATCTTCAAGCAGTCTATTAAAAAAAAGTTGCTGAATACTGGCACAAAACTAAACGATGTAAAACACTGACAACGATGTTTCCACCTTTGCTTGTCATGTGTCAAAACAAAGCCGATTAAAGACGCAAAATTACCGCAAAAGTCATCCCTTCCCGTCAGTCTACATGGACAGATTTTCTCGGCTAACTGTGGGACTAAATTTTTCTGAATTTTCGTCGCTTAGCGAGCCAATTTTTGTTTTTTGTCAATTTTTTGTAATAAAGTAAGTCATTTAACGCCAAACAGTGGAGGTAATTTAGAAGTTAATGGTAGCATTAGTACGATATTGCATTTCAAAGTAAAATAATAAAAATTTAATGAGGTTACAGAAGCCTTTTGTTTCATCAGTTCTTTATTAACGCGCACATCATGTGGAGCCCGGCTAAAAGCCTATTGTTCCAGTGTGAATCACCATTATCGCCGTCAGACTAAGTTTAAATTTCCAACTTGACAAAAACCTTTGTTTTTAGGGCTCTTTTAAGTCGCATTCTTTCCACAACGCTCCCGTTGCCAAAATCTTCTTTTGAAAGTCGTAATTGCTTTTAATTCTTTATTATGTGGCTTTGCTCTAGCGAATTAAGGCTCTTAATGACGCAAATCCAGTGTTTACTGCGGCCGGAAGAGTTCTTGATTTAATTTGTTAAGGCTCACAAAGCACTTAATTAATTTCTTAGCCAGAAAACTAGTTTGCAGGCCAACGAAGGGTCAGCTGGATTATAAATTAGTGCATTTCACAACAAGGCAGATAACCGTGTCCAATTTGGCAAAAAAAAACTGATGCGTATTCTCTCCTTATATACTCTGAACATTACAAAAACCTCTCTCTCTCTATATATATATATATTAATTCGTAGAATACAATTTCAAATTTACAATATATCGCCGACTTAAACCTTTACACGAGGGGCTGTGTATAGGAGTGAGTTTTAGTACAGCTGAACCCCTTTTTTAAATTTGATAAATAAAATTGTCTCGCATTGTAACGATTACCTGATTTTGAGTCATAACTCAATAAAGGGGTCGGGTCAATATCTATTCATTAGGTAGTTATAGGTACTTATAGAGGGTACGAAGCTCTTATTTACAATTTTACACCCGCTAACTGCTTATCCAAGGTATCTATATTCAGTATATGGAATAGGCAAAATTAGTGCGTTCGATGAAAAAGTGAGGGTTCTGTCTCCAAATCTTTTGGTTTGGCTCCAAAAAATTTGAAATGTGTACATTTTTCTCGGTTAATTTGTTTAAAATTGTTCATAATCAAATCACCATTATATACAACTAGACAGCTTGTCTTCTTCTTTCTGTACAAGTTGCCAGGTTAAAGTGCTTCGGGCCCTGATGACTTTGTTTTTGAGGGACTATGTCGGCTCATTTTTTGTTTAGTCTTTCCTTTTAGCTCGAGCTCGGACGATCCATCTTTTGTTTCCTCCATTTTATTCTTCTGTTTTGGAACCAGACCTTAACTTGTGTTTCAGTCAGATTAAGTGAGGCGGCAAGATAATGTCTCTCGGCTCCCACCATGTACTGCTGACGATCAAATTCTTTCTCCAGTCGCTCAAGTTGTTCGGGTGTGAAAATCGTGCGAATTCTCTTCGGCTTTCCTTGCTTGAAATTCCAGGCTTTGTTTTCTTCATGGTGAACAACTGATAGAATTGCATCTCCTTCTGCAATAATGAAACATCGTAGCCACAAATTAGCATGGAAAGAAATACGAGAGTATATGATAAATCTGTCTTGTTATATTTCGTTTGTTTCTGATAACTATTTTATCTCATGAATAGAACTTGTCTTTCAATCTTTTTAAGGCAATAATAAAGACTCTAGCAAAAGGGTTGTCTTGGTTTGAAAAATTGAAAAACTTAATTACTCTAGCTTCACATGATGAGAGCTTTATGTTATTGAATGAGGCACAATTTGTAAGAAGGCAATTAAAAGAGATTTCGCACGGGAAAACTCGCAAAAGGGATTATCCGTATATGTTTTTAAACAAAAAAATCTTCTTTCCGTTTAATTTCTTTTCTTTTTGGCTGTTTACAAGGAAATGAAATGATGCAAGCATTAACCGAGAGAAAAGAAACCTATAAAGCAATAGCCAAAGGTCTTTAATTTTTTAAAAATTTCAGATGTGAATTAATCCATCAAACATTTTAAAAAAATCGTTCTCCGGAAATTGAGTGAAAGAAAATTGAGTTTTCATTGCCAGCATGTATTTTTACGTTTCCTGGAAGGACTCGATGGAACTTAGATTCTTAATACTAACACTTAAAAGTCATAAACACACAATGATCGTGAAAAACGAATTGCAATTTAAAACAAACGAAAGAAGTTGGTGAGTCAATGATAAGAGACTACATGTTATTTAGAACCCAAGAACGAAAGCAGAAAATATACACTTTTTATTGTGTTGAAGATCATAGAGAGTAGTTATCCACAAGGGAAGCAAAATTTTCTGATGCAATGAATATCCTAGACAAAATTGTTACAGCAGAACTTGAAAATTAAGCGAGTCCCAAGAAATGATTGTCATACGAAAAAACAATGCTCGGTCCAAAGGATATCTAAGATATCTACTGACAGCATGCCTAAGAGTTGGATAACCAATGTATCTCCTAAGGCTCACCTTTTTGTAAAGCATTACAAGTTGTTCTCACAAAAGCGCTGGCTGTCAAAGGTCTATGATATGGATGAAATCTCTCCACTGAAACCTGCGAAGTGTAAGGAGAAAATTGACTCAAGCCTCCTTCCGATGAGGACTTGGATGCGCCTGTTTCTGATCTCGCGGTCTTACTCGTCTGCTCCTCGGAACGGGACAAAATCGATGAAATGGTGAAGGAAGAAATTCCGCCTGGCTGCCTTGTTGGGCTTGTGGGTGGCCTGTTCACTGATAAACTCGGCGCTACAGCGTTACTTCTCAAGGCAAGACAATATGGGGATGAGCACGTAAAATACGGGCAGACGTAGGGACTCGTAAACGCCTGCATGGTCAGTCAGTCACGAAAAATGAAGTCAGTTCAAATTTCGAGCAACTTTTCAGGCTTCACCGTGTTCATAAATCAGTTCGCGCGCAGAGATTATCGCTGTTGTGTCGCAGCTGACTTCGAGTGCGAGTTTGCACGTTCATAGCAGCCTTTTATACACACAGCCGACAAAATTGGCAACTGTTGAGTTGCTAATTTCATAATAGCAGTTGCTAAACGATGGATGGCCCTCAAAAATATGCTGTTTTCTCATTAGACCATTGGTAAAATTGATTAGAGGGCCCCATACAATGCGTAATCGAAAGAGCCGACTTATTAGTATCTTCACAATAAACAAACAAATTGTTCACGTATCCTTTTAACTCAAACATTAACCTATAATTTTGCGCGACAAGTGAGTTTGCCTTAATGATTTAAATTGGTCTTATTAGATCGTGATAGGAAATAAATAAAGCCTGCAAATTTAATATAAGTTTCTTAGATGAAGATCAGATATTAAGAAAAAAAAAACCTCCTTACGAACTTTGGGGGTTTCGCCTCTTTCCGGGCCACTTTTAGCAATGGAATCGCGCTCTGTTTTTTCAACAAAAGGTGAAGGTTAATAATGATAAATCTGTTCAAAGCTTTTGCCAGCGAAATGTACTGTCGCCTTTCGACATGTGGTGGAGGGGACGAAATTGGCATTGTTGTTAAGCCTATTGTATCGCCTGGGTTAATTAATACTTTTGTAGTGGGCTAGATCCACTTCCTATGCCAGTGAAGACGAAACACGCCAAGCGCTCCATTTCATATTCATTTCTATTGAACGCAAAACACCTGTTTCGCGAGTTTACATTCATTAAGTCGGTCGCATTCGATACAACAAGCAATTTGCTCGCAGGAAAGCTTTTTAATTCATCAATTATCTTATCACATTTAATGAGCAAAAGATATTTCGGAGTTTATCCCTTTAAAATTAACTCGACAAGAGAAAATTATCGAGAGTTGCTGTGGGTTTCAAAGACAATTAATTCTCTGAAAAACAATTAAAAGAAGGAGATTGAAAACGAGCCAGGGATATTAATGCTTTCATGACTTACCAGTTCCAATTCAATTTTATGTTTAGTCTGACATATTGTATTAGAGCTCCCATTGCTGAAAGTCAACCTTTGGAGAGTAGAGAGTCTTGCGTCCATTGAAAAACACGTTTTGAAAAGGAGTAGCTTTTTGGGGTCTTAAATGCAATATTCATCCCAGCTATTGTGTGTATTTAGAATCAATTAAGTTGGTTTAATGAGTTCCTCTTAGCTTAATATCAGTAATTTTCCATCCATTTCGTCATTTTAGTGGATCAAATAAGAGAGATTCTTTTGACCAAGCAATAAAGTGAGGCTAATATCTCGGAATCAATCCAGACAATCTTTACCGGACCGCTAACACGATTCGATGAGGCTAATCAAGTTTATCGATAATGGATCATCGAGGATTTCACTGAAGTACAAACAAATCCAAAAGCAATAATCGATTTTTTTTTAGTTGTATAACTGAAAGATCACGAAAATTTAACGTTCGAAATCAAAGCTCCTGTCAACCGGCTACGAGCTCGTGGTCGTGACGCGTGTCTCGCGTTATTTTTCCGTGCTGTTTTTCGCGAAACAACGTTCCAATTTAATTCGTTATGAAAAATACTTACTATCTTTGCCCCACCCATTTACGGTTTCAAATCTTAGCAGGCGTTCCTATTGCTGTTGACCGCAATAAACGCAACTGGTATCGAGACCATTCACAATTTAAAGTGATCCGAGTCGATCCCTTACAAGCTGCATCTGTGTGCTTTGTTTTAAATTTCATGGCTAAATAATCGTGCCAGACTCAATTGCTCGACTAATGTGCAATATAATTTGATTAATGGAGACGAAAACTCGCTAAATAGGATCCAAGACCAAACACGTTCCCATACGAGGGCGTGTACGCTAATGACAACATACGAAAAACTGCCAGCCATTGCATGATTCACGAAGCAGTGGAGTATTTTACCTTAAGATAGTGTAACCGCTTTGGGCCCGAGGGTCAAAAAATCTTGACAGTTGGTAGCTAGTTAGCGAGCTATTTACTCAAGTGGCGTGAGAGAAGATATTGATCGAAATTTCTCGATATTCTGACGAACACTGAGCAAACTTTGCCCAACTTCACTTTTGAAACGAAAAGTGGTCAAATTCTTGTTCTTTCTTTGTTTTGTTTTAAGAGATCAGGAATATTCCAACATCGACTTAAATTGACGAGATTTATGTCTTCCTGAATCAGCTGACACCGCGAGTTGGTGGCTTGACAGTTTTTCTTCTTTTCATTCAATTTATTTAGTTTTCAAGATAAAGGTATTATGATCGCATTAAGATGACAGCCTAATTATAACACTAATGCTATGAATACTAGAATAATTAAGAAGAGTTTTGAAATCTTGTTTTCAAAGGGTATCTCTGTTTAGTTTGCCAGATTTAATTTTCCATCTTATTGCTTTTTAATTCAATAAACTGGACGTGTCGACAAGACCTTGTTTGAAAGCTTAGGTAATCTGCGATTTTCCTACGATTCGCCTACGCAACGTCAAAAAAAAACTTGCAATTGTTAAAAAGCTTGTATCAAGACTTCCACTGATCATGTGTGACTGTTTCCAACTTCCTTTTCGGTTATGATAATTCTCGTATTCACGGTAGAACGAGAGATGATTACCTTATATCCTAACCGATATTCTATTATTTGCTGTTCAAATAGTCTTTTGTGTGACATATAATATGAAGGGGGTGAAGATTTGACTAGAAAATAAAGACCGCGAGACAGATGTCCAAGACGGGAAAATTTCAGATTCCCATCTCAAAGACCGGATGTTTTACCCGCATATCCTTTTTTAAGCTTTTTTCTCCGACTTCCAGAGTTTACCACCGTATTGCGTGGTGAATTGTAACATTTCAAGACCAACAAAAGAATCACGTTGATCGGTTTAAACAATGCAGTTTTACAAGGTCTGCGCTGTTTTGCCAAATGTTTTTAAAAAGTTGAACTCGAGATAAAACCATTGCGGTCGTAATTTGGCTTCGGAGCCAGCAGGTGACATGGACTGAGATCCGCCCATTTCAATGCTCACTGTTAAACTAATTTAGCCTGAGAACAAGGCCAGTTAATTGTATTGGGAAATCATCACATCGTAAAAGAAAATTCACTAATTGGGCAGTGTTTTGATAGTAAGCATACAATCTGAACGATACAGCCAAAGTTTGAAGCAGTATAATCTGTTCTATGCCGCTTTTAACACTTGATTCTTCATCTTTTTGCCGAGATAACACTGCAAGGCAACCATTATATTTCTAGCACCTGATGTTTATACTGTGGCTTCATATCGATCATGTCTACCTGTCAAAATCATCGCGATGATTTCAGTGTATCTGCCTAACATTTGACAGTTAATTTGTGAGCGAAAAAAAAAGAGGAATAATTCTTTTGTCCTTGAAATATCAATATAGAGATATTTTTTATCTTGTTACTTTGCTAGATCACTTATGCATTACGGGTTCTCTTTGAAACGACGATTCCACACTTTCCTTCGTACACCGCCTGAAATCAGTCAGAGTTACTATTTTACATGCGCACGTGTAGACGGAGAAAAGTGGATTAAAAACCATCTCCCTGTTCAGTGATTTTTGGAGCAAGGAGATCAACTTGTTTTCACAAGGGCTGGTTTACAGGACTCCCCTGATGTAAGCCACACTTGTTATGGATGTAGCCTGATGTTTTGCCAGTTTGTATAACTTCCTATTTCCTTTGCTGGTTTTTTTTTTTTAGGAATAAACTTTTCGTTGTTGTTGTTATTGAACTTAACGAGTTTGCTGCTTCCTCGTTTCTTTTTTAATGATACGTTTTTAAACAACAGCAATCCAACACAACACTGCCAAACCGGTGACTCCAACGCTAACTTCTGCAAAGTTCGAGATTGACCCTAAAAAACGACACAAAAAGCATAAAAAACCGGCCGAAATGGTATAGAACTAAAAGACTTCATTTTCTTGGCAAGGAATAGAGGCAATGCTGGGGAGCAGGCTTAGCACAATGGGAGAGCGCTCGCTTCCCATCAATGTGGCCCAGGTCGGAACCGGCCCGGTGCCATATGTGGGTTGAGTTTGTTGTTGGTTTTCGCCTTGCTTCGAGGGTTTTTCACCGGTTCTCCGGTTTTCGTCCCTCCTAAAAACCAACATTTTCAAATTCCAATCCGATCAGGATAGAGGACCCGCACGGAAACCAGCTGGGGCTGATGTGGCTTCCTCTCTAAATATTGTAATTTATTGGCTGACGCTTCTGTATAACTGACGTTAAAATATTCACTGCTCGATCCCAGAAATCTAAATAGCCAAAGAATGAAACAAGGTTCTGCCGCCATCGTTTGGCAAGTCTTTATACGTTTATCTGAAATAAACAACAACACTTACTTCGCGCATGGATCGAAGAAGAGATGCGTCAATTCCAGAAAAAAAATTACTCATTTTATTAGGACTGAACCTCAAGGAAAGCTTTTCCTGTTGTGGCTGTCTAATTTCCTTCTTGTTTATTTATTTTTTTTATTTATTATTTTTTCCTGTTCGTCTTGATGGTTCTTTCTTGTCAGATTACGGTGAAGACTAAGGACTGTTCTTTAACTAAAGCCCTTCTTACTAGAAAGGCTTTTGTATATGTTTCTGTTACATGTTACTGAGAAGCCGTTTTATGGTCTGAAAAATAATTTCCAAAACCCAGGCATGCCGAGCTAGAAAATTATACAGACTTACATCCGTTTCATCCCATTCGGTCGAAATGTTTATTTTTCCTTTAAAATTTTGTTTTTGGGGATAGATTTGGAAAGGTGGCGAATGAGATATCTCTCAAGACTCCTGATAATTTGTCTCACACCAGGGCCGTGGCAGGCAAACTGAGGCACTCGCCTCAACCATTTTTTTTTTCGTTTTCGTTGTTTATAGTCATCATAAGCACCGTAAATACATAGGAAGAGAATTTAACCATGGACATTGCCTCTGTCATGATTTTTTTGCTGGTTACGGGCCTGCATACAGACTCGAACTTCTTACCGAAGGTAGTGAAAATGTTAGTACGCAACTACCGGTATATCCTCATGTCTTCTCAGACCTACCTCGCAGGGGTTCGGTTGCTTCTTTGCTCACTGGTCGTCATATCTTAGACTTGCCTGTTTACTCGTGTAATCTCCTAAACTTGAATGAGGGAGCAGAGAAGTTCATTTTCTTACTTATCCAAAGTATTTACAGAAGTTTCTGTTTTATTTTTAGATCCGGACATTAAAGGCAAAAGCAATTAAACAGTCAAAGTATAGAAGTTTGTTGCCCCTGTCGATCCTAACTGTGTTTCAATATATACGCTTGACGCCACAGTAGTGTTTAATAGAAGATAACACTGACGAACTAATACTCATCGAATATCGCGATCACTACAACGTATTCACTACAACCTGTTCGCTTGGCGTTTTAAAGATCTCTTAGCCTCGCGTGTAAATCAAAATCTTTCAGTACTATATGTGTATATTTTATCACTCTTCCTTAGGCCGGGACAACTAGATGGCTTGACTTGTATTCATTCGCTGCTTGCAACAAGCTCTCTGCACAAAATATAGCCAAAAGGGGAAAAGCACACATGATTTATACTAGTTTAGGGATGCTATTCAGTCGGACAGGTATTTTAATAGCAGAAAGTCGTGTAGTAAATTACTCCTAAACCTACCTAACTATCAAACAAAAAAAAGAAAAAATAAACGGATAAAAAATAATAAAAAAAACTATCTATTTAACTACCTATACCTACAATGCCTGCCTGCCTACCTACCCATCTTCCTACCTACGTGCCTAATACGATCTTTAAAAAATAAATAGAACTAGCGATATTATAGTCAATCAATACGAAATAAATGTTTGCCAGAAAATAAAGGAGAGACATTTTATTGTTCTTAAAGTCTCTACCGGTCTCTTCGATGGATGTCGAATTACTTTTGGCCAATTACTTTTCAAACTTTTAGGATTGATTTCTATGATCTGGGAATGAAAAACATCAGACTGACAATGCTAGACTCGTCTTTTTGAGATTGTTCGGAGTTAATTTATTAATGGCAACGAAATGAAGAAAAAAAATCTAAATTTGCCTTTTTAGCGTGCGGCACAAGCTCTCGCTTCCCTATAAAAAAGACTTGATGAGAGGGCGGAGTCATCTTCGACATCATCAGTGTCATTAAATTTTATTTTAGGCTTCTATTTTCGAGGAAATTTAAATATGTTTCTGGTCTGATTCGAAGAATAAAAGTTTTAAAGCTGATGCAAGTTAACGTCTCGTGACGAAGCCGCATACTATCATACTCTATCCTGTCGCTTTGTTATGTCTAAACGGAACATAGCATGTCTAGCCCGGCCTTCTTTATATGCAGTTGTTTGGTGATTTTTAAGGGGTCTACATGCGACAATAATGTACACGATAAGATAATTTATGTTCTCAGCTCGGTTTTACCAAAGATGCAGATCATAAATTTAAGTTGGATCATTCAAATAAATAAATAATTAAATAGCATAGGCCAAACCACTGGATGATCCCAACAAAATACAATGAATTCTTTATAATTAAAAGACTCTCTCTTTATGCTTTAGGCTAGATCATTTGCATACAGTAAATAGAATAACAACTTTTGTCCATGCACAAGCCGCATTTGTGATGCCCCACTAGGGTTGCCGAGGAGGGACTTCGAACTTTAGACTTCAGTCTCGGGACTTTAGGGACCATGTTTCCAATTTCCTCGGCTTTTCGTGTCCGACACGGTTGCATACGATACTTTTCCTTACCATAACGCGTACAATCAGACGCTGATATCGATATTAGCGACTGATAAGACTGATAAGACGGACAGTGCTCTTAAAAACATGGCGTTACGTGTAAACATGTGACGTCACAGACGGTGGACGTGGATAAGTGCATAGGACAACGCACACGTTCTTTGTTTACTCTTTGATCATTGTTTCAGCGTTCGGAGCCGTTCGGAGAGCAAGTAACTCTCTTTAGGATCACCTGTATTTTTTGTTTATATCAAGTTTGTAACGAATCGAATCAATCACTTTAAGTTGTTGTGCGAACGGTTCATAATACCCGTAATATCAAGAAGTGAACAATTCACATCTTGCCGGTGGGATGAAGACAATGAAAGATTACTTATTGACCGGCTTTGGTACATAACCGCCTGTTTAAAATGAATCAAGCAAGCACGCGAAGGTTCACGGATTTTGTTAACACCATCTCGAAAACCGATCTGTTTTCGTGCTTGTCTCTGTGGATGGAAGAGAGTCCACTCGCCACGATATCGGTGTGCGGCGATTTCGAAAGCCTGTCGGCTACCGGTGAAGATCAAGATGATTATCGTGATCGAGTCGACAACGAAGATGTGCTCTGTGATGTCCTTCAAGAAAGCGGTCCTTTGAGAAAGAAGTTTAAGATAAACAACTGTATCATCGAGCAAAAGGACAGTGAAAAGGACAAAGAATTAGGTACGCCGCTACAGGTTCACGAAAGCAATGCAGTTTCGAATCATATGGACAACACGACGGGTGTGATTAATGTCGGCCACTTTAAGGAGCCTCTTACTAATTGTATAGAATCAAATAGTAGACTAGATGAGGAGAAAAAGCCATCGAAAGGCTCTATCTCAAGGTTGAACAAGATTGGTGTGGTAATGGTTGATTCCCGGGAGAATATCGTCGCAATTGATTGTTCGCGTGACGTTGTTCATGGCGTGACAAGTGTTTTGGTAGACTTCAGTGACCTCGCGGCAAATTGCGTTATTTACACTTCACGGAAACCCTGCTCTCTTTGTACGAAGCTGATGGTACAAGCCGGGATTTCTAGAGTGTGCTATTTACCATTTGAGCCTGAAAACCCTGACGAACACGACCTCGATAAAGTTGAAAAGCTGTACCGGATGAGCGAGATAGGGCAGTCCATTTATGTTCCAAACATTCAAAAGACAGTTTTAGTGGAAAGTGAAGTAAAACGCTCACCATACGCCCCTCACAAGTTATCTCACAGAAGTGTTCTTTTCACCCTGCTGAATCGTTACTGGAGTGAACAATGGAAAAGAAGCATTACCCTAAAGCTAAAGTGGCCAGAATTCAACGAATGCAAACAACAAGTAGATCACTCCATTCACATTATGCTAGAATGGATTGCAAGAGTCACATTTGGAGACTTACCAGATTCTGTTAACTTTTACGAATGTGAAGGAAGAAACCCGAACGGTAATGAAGCAAGTTCGGGATGCACTCGAGACACTGTCCCGAACCACGAGGATACACCGATCATTCCCGACGCTAGTAACCCACTTTGGCAGGAACTGGCTCGGCATATGTCGAGAATGGCGAACATTTTGGCGCAACGTTCGAACGATCCGAAAAGAGGAGTCGGGGCGGTAATCTTGCAGCGGAATCAAATAGTATCTGCGGGTTGGAATGGCTACCCTCCGAAAGCTAACTACGGGGATTTTCCGAGAGCTTCCCACATTGATGGTCCCTCGCTGACAAAAAAGTACGCTTTCTCGATCCATGCCGAACAAGCGGTGATTTTAGGCAAGAACACACGGGACATAAGCGAAGACTCAAGCACCATGTTTGTGAGCAAAACCCCGTGTGATGAGTGTGTCCCGCTTATTTTGAAAGCAGGAATTAAGAATGTGGTTTTCCCACGGGACAATCAACAAAGAAACCCTGCCTGCCTCAAGTACATTCTGATTCAGAGAAACATTGCGCAAGGGAAGTTAAATGGCTTCGAGAGTCGTTTTCCTCTGACTGAACAGACACATTGTCAAGCAGAAGGTCCGGCTATGACGAGGACACCACGACAGCTCTGCTTCAACGGAGAGGCAAATGGACTTGCACCGGTAACTGACGCGAGTAAATAAGAAAGAAAGGCCACGTACAGTCAGGAGTCCATAACGAGGAGCGTCCCATATATGCTTTCCACATGAACCATTGTATGTCCACGTTGAACTATTTTAAGCAGTGTTTAATTGTAGAGCTTCTCTTACTTGATTCTGAAGTTTCACCGAAAAACGCGCTGACGGCTAACACCATTATGAGATTACCAAATTACTGAGTTTGTTTGCGCGTTTTAATAGCTCAAAAGTCTGGGCTGTTTCAAAACTCTCACCAGATCAACTTTCTGTATACTGTATATGTCTCAATCTGCACAGAGGTGGTCTCCCAAACGTTCGCTTCCAGACAAAAAAAAATGTGTAATCTTGTTAATCTAATAACTTGTGGATCTAATGTGGAGGTTATTCTTGCAAACGGGTGAACATAAGGTAGAGGGTGACACAGTGATAAAGATATTCAATGATGATGATAACCAACTTGAGTTTTCTCCTCAAAATATCCGCAATACCAAGTCTTGCCGACAAGTTGTGAGAATACAGATACTGATCAAGGAGAAATTCAACATTTATCGAAATAATCCCAACTTCAATGTTGCTATACAATAACCAATGTGTGGTGATGGGGATTTTCTTTCTTCGCTTAAGAGTGATTACGTGTACTTGCTTGGAGATGTTTTTTATTCTTAGTCTGTTTCGGGCGTTCAGCTAGTTGGGGGTTAGCGCGAAGTTCGGTGACTGCAAAATGGGGCAGGATTTGAAGTCTAGTTGGTTTATTGGGTTGTTTACGTTTGTTGTGATTGGCCGTTGTAATAATATTGGTTTTAGACAATTGAAAACGGCCACGAGGCGATCGACCTGGTGATTCAGGGCTTCTCCTGTTTCTCTGAAC